CTGACTTCTTCCTACTCCATTCAAACTCTAGGTGTTTGCTTACACTCTAGGTGTAAGCAAACTGATTTTGGATTAGCATTGGTTGGATATGGGTAATTATGTGTGTGTGTGTTGCTGTCATTTGTTCTGTTCTGCATGTTTGAAAGAATAAATCAAATCAAATCAAAATTATATGTTGCTTATTTCAGTACTCAGATGCTTTAGCAATACCATAGTGCAGGATACTCTGTTACAAGTAAATATCCTGCATTTTAACTCCAGAAAAACATGAAAATATTACCATTAGAATAAGTACTACAGGTAAAAGTACACATTATGCAGAATGGCCAACTTCCTCTCTGTTGTGTTATTGAATCAGTACAATTTATGAACATTACTTTAATGCTACAGCTGGTAAATGTGAGGATAACTAACTCCTTTATATCCTCACAGGTTGCCTAATCTGTAATATCGATTTGATTTTGTAATAATAATTTTAATTTCCAAAGTAACCACTGATACCAAATAAATGTAGACAAGCTAAGAGTATAAATTAGAAACTGAATTACTCAAGTACCTGAAAATTGTTCTTAACCAAGTACTAGAATAGATGTACTTTTCCACACTGGCTGTTAGGCCTGACTTGCAGAAGTAAGCTTGGTTTAACTGGTAGTCTTGATTCATGAAACATTGCTCAGGAAGTCCACTATAGTAAAATTGATTTTCTGGTTCCAATATGTTGATACTGAAATTTGAAAAAAAAAATGCTAAAAAACATAAAGACAATACTGCAACAAATTATTCCTTAAATGAGATGACAGAGGATCAGAGCAACATGACCACTATCACATTATTGTCTTTTTTAAGCATTTTTATGCAGATACAGACTAAAGATGTCTGAACATATTAATTCTAACAAATTGTTGTTTGCACTGTTCTGTGATGCAGTTTTTATATAAAGGAAGATTAGATGTTAATGCTTTGCTATAGTGATTCAAATTACATAATCAACTCACTGAAGAAGAAGGATTGTTTTTTTCTTTCATAAACACTGGCTTAACTAAATAAAATGTCTTAAAACAAAGCTATCTGATGTAACCTCATCACATACTGCTATTCGATGTGGTCGTAGACGACAACATGGCACCTGACGGCCCCCATAGGCTCTCTCACGCCTGTAAAGGTAAAAGTGGAGTTGGGGACGGCAATCTGCAACATCACTATTAGAGGCCAGTAAATCCTTCACATTGCACCTTTACATTGTCGTGGGTAGTGTTGTGTGTTTTATGAAGTAGTCTGAGCTGCATGAGCTGTTGAAGGGTGCTATAAAAACTATTTTGATTAACTGATTGATGCTGTGTATTATAGAATAAATCTGCCATAAAACTGAAGAAATGTCAAAGCATTATTTATTTGAAATAAGGACAAAGTAAAAAGATGTTTTAATAATATTTCTGCAAACATATTTAAAAAAAAAAAAAAAGAAGATCAAAAACTTAAATTTCTCATTAACAAAAGTTTCCGGACCCGCTGCTATGGCTCTCCACACTGTGGTGGTAAGATGCCATTTTATACATTTAAAATAAAATTTACAGCTCAATACAGTGCAAAAAAGGAAGGGGTCTGAGTATTGCCGACAGCCTGTACATCCTGAGAGAAAAGCCTTCAGTCTCAGCCTGCGCCTTGTTCATCTTACAGTCAGTAGGATATGTACTGTTAATATTTACTGTATATTTAATGACTTTAAAATTAATCATTAGGCTAATTATTTTAAAGTTATTTATTAATAACTAGTAAATCAATTGAACCTGAACCTATGACAGTAAACAAAGAAATAAAAAAGTCACCATGTCTTCTGATATTTTCTAATTTCACAAAATCTTTATTTTCTAGGAAAAACACTTTCATCCATTGCTCAGCGTTTTTCAGAGAGAGGGCAGCGCTGTGCTTCTCTGGCTGAGGTGGAGGTGGAGGTGGGGCCTTGGCCCTGCTCTTCAGTTGCAGTAGTTCTTCAGGACTGACGTGGTGCATGGATTCAGACAGCACTCCTCCACAATGCCTCGCTTCACCATTGTCACCATCTGGTCCTTGAAGGTGAATTCAGCCACCTCGTTCTCTCCACCCGCTGCTGTAGTTCTGCCCACCTCTGGGAACAGGAAACCTGATGGGACAGAGCAACAGATCAGCATCATACTGAGGTGGCGGGTCAGCTGGTAGGGCTGTTGATGCCACCATCAATATGCACTCAGTGGCCACTTTATTAGGGACACTGGTATAGTCTAATGTAGTAGAACATCTGTGCCAAAACATTGGTTTTTACAAAAGTCAAGTTTCCATTTTGTGTCAGAAATGTGCGAATTTAGAATAAGTAGTCAGATACTTAAGTAAAAGTAATAATACCACAATGCAAAAATACTCTGTTGCATGTAAAAGTCCTGCATTCTAAATGTTATGTAAAAGGTAAGTAAAAGTACAAAACTATTAGCAAGTACATTTAACATCGATATACGATACTGGATCATAGTGACTGATGCGTTACTGTGTTCATCACTTTAATGCTGCAGCTGGTAAAGGTGGAGCTGATGTTAACTACCTTATATATTTATACTGTGAAGTATACTTAAGTAAATATACTTAGTTATACTGTTTATAACTGAGGTCACATTAAAGTACCAGACTACTTTATTTGTAAAAACAGCTCCCTGATAGACTAGTGGTTAGGGTGCAGCGCTCTTGCCGCTGTAGCGCACCCAGTGTAAAACCTGTGCCAAATGTCAACATGTGAATCATCAGTGTGACAATTCACAAAAAAAAAAACAAAAGTGGCATTCATTCACTACTTTATTTGTAAAAGTGCTTCCAAGATTTTTGTAGTTGTTTACTCAGCAGAGGGTCAATGTCTCTCTTAGTGTTGTAGAAGCCACTGTCCCCACAGACTCTGTAGAGGGCCTCGACCAGGTGAGAGCCGCACCAGTGGTGCGGGGGGCTGAGGGCCTGGGAGCCCGGCCACGACACGATCAGTAAGACCAGCAGAGAGACAGACTGGAGCCACAGTGCTGCCATAGTGGAGGAGAGCTGAACACAAATATAAATATATGTGTAGATACTGGAACTTTAAAAACCTGTACCAATATATCAGATAATGTTTTGTGGGAGCCCATAACAGAGATAAAAACATTTGATGAGCAACTAGACATTTAACGGAATGTAAACTTTATCTCTATAGTGCCTTTCAAATCTAATGTTACAAGAAACAGAAAACACTTGACAACAAATTACAGAAAGAATTTCAGGGAGAGGACAAACAAAATATCATTCAACATCATGTTGAGAAGATAGAGCAGAAAAGGAAGTTGGGAAAAGCAGTATACCTATGTATGGAGTAGGAGAATGAGATGGAGGAGTGGTGGAAGAAGAGCAGCAGCTCAGCTGTAGAGTCGTCAGAGGAGGAGGAGGTGAGTGTGATGAAGAGGAGCAGTAGCTGAGAAGTTGGTTGGTGTGTCTGAGGATCTCCTTGGCACTTATACTCCATCACCTCCACCTGGCAACGCCCACTGTGTGTGAGGGCACTGTATTACTCACGTCATGGGGACATATGTCTGTTCATCATTTTGTGGGGACTCGACTTCCTTGTGGGGACAAAACTTTGTCTGAAGAGATACAAACAGGACCATGTGTGTGGACAAACAGATAACCTGCCAGTCAGCACACACGAAGTGACACCATTTACTTCTGATTGACTGGTTGCGGCACTTAGTAAAACAAACAGAGCTAATGAGCCGATATCATCTGATCACCTCTTTCTGACACACATTGGTAATCACCCATCAGTCTCCTGCTCCACTGCTGAGCTCAGCAGCCCAGCGACCGACTTCCAGCAGCTGTAACCGATGTGTCAAATGACACTGTGACAATAAGTGGCTTTCCATCCAATCTGCATATAAAAAAACGTGAACAGAAACACCAAAAATTGCATTCAAATCCTTTAAATATCCCCAATGGCTGAGGTGCAGGGTTAGAGATATGGATAAAACAAATTCATTGGTAACTTGAACCAGACTTAAATCATGTACAATGCATTAACTTTACTGGTGGAAAGATGAAGCTTCAATATTAAATAGGGATTTATTGGATTTGTACTTTGGCTTTATAGTTCCACAAACATGGAGGTGGTGGGATTTGTGACCTATACTGCAACCGGCCACCAGGGGGCGATCACTTTGTTGTGGTTTCATTTATGGGAGCTGTTGGGCTGTTCATCTTTTATATTTTCAGTATATTGGAAGCTAGATTGCTGGTTGCTTAATGAGCTACAATACGGCTTGAATCTAAATTTAGCTCAGGGAGGCTGAATGAGGGCTAAAATTGGTGGAACGTGTACAGTGTCTGCTCCGCTTATGGTGCATTCATTTCATATTTAAACCATGTAAAAATAATTAGCAAATTCTGTACAAAATGACTTTTTACCTTTATTGCACATCATTATGTGTGTTTTATTGCAGATCTGGATACAGATACAAATTGTCTAAACACTAAGTATATGTTGTTGCACTGCTTTGTCTTCCAGAACATTTAATCTTCCTGATAGGTTGCTACAGTTTGTCAAAACCACTCAGTTTAACATCTTTCCCCTCTCACAGGGTGAAAAGCAGATGACCACTGAAGGTGCTATGGTGGTTCTGATTATCATGTATCTTTGTTCCAGTCCACTGATGCACACACACAGTGTCTCCGGCCTCTAGAAGCAGTGACGCACTTTGAGAAGAAGCCCCATAACCAGCTGTCTGATGCTCATATGCAGTAAAAATGTGGTTTGTGTTCTTGACCAACACAGCAGCTGTGTTACTTGAATCAACACCGATGTGCCACTCGAAGTGATAGACTCCTCTCACCGCTGCAGTGAAAACACCTGTGGACATTTGTTTTAGTCATTCTAATGGAAAATCAGCTGTTATTCTTTCAATGACATGAACATGGCAGAAAGGTGGAAGCTTTGTTAAAATGTCTGAGTTACCTGTGTTTGGGTCGTAGGCACTTCCGATGTTTGTGACGACATTTTTAAAGACCAGAGCAGTGTGTCCGTTGAAGGGTCCGATAGTTGCCTCGCCGTCGGACAACAGCGAGGCTGAGAAAGCCACCTGCCCGGCTGAGGGAAGGAAAGTAGAGGCATTACCTCAGCAGTCTACAGATACAACAATGTGAGCGTTATTTGTACTGTCCACCTTTTTAAGAAGAATTTTGGCTCATAAACATTTTCAGAATGAAAATATTCAAGCATTAAAATGCTCACTTTGAGTCTCGCCTTCTCCAAAAACTGACAGAATGTCAGCTAACTCTACTATTTGCTAATAATTTCTTGAAAGTTTCCTGTAAAGACCCATGTAGTTTGGTACTATTAACAGAAAACAGAGACAACCTCTGAGACTGCTCGCTGAGTTAGTCCGCTGAGTTTATTCAGGAATTTCCATGAACAAAATTGCTTAAGTTTAAACTACAGTTAATATGGACTTTTCAATTATTATTTGAAAGTGTATTCATCCGTGATACTGAATTGTGTAGTTGTTTGTAGACTGATTTCCCACTTTGCATGTGTAGCTCACCTTTTGTCCTCTGACTAAAATCCTCAAGTGCATTTAGAAATAACTACAAGTGTACCAACTGATCACTCTCTAATTTTACCTTTAATTAGTACCAAATTAGATCATTCTTTCCAGGAAACTATTTGGATTGTACAGACATGTAACATAAAGTGTTACCAAATTTCACATTTCCCCAGGGGAAGTTAAAATGAGCTAAAAACTGCTGTGGTCCCAAACATAATTTTTAACCCATTTTATTGGGAACTCACACTAATTAGACAGTAACATTGTTTTATAATTTTCTCAAGATCTCTTATTTGTGATACACTAAATACCTACTCACCCATCGAGGCCCACATACTCACAGTTAGAAACAGAAGCAGCATGTTTAGAAAATTGTTGCATGTATTCAGACTTGGTGATATAGTGTACGGCATTTGAAATATGTATTTTATTATTATATTATATTATGTACTTTAAGAATATTCTTTGATTGTGCATCTATAGAGAAAGAACATAAAAGCAAAAAAATAACTAAAAATGCACATGGTAGAAAAGTTCTACTTCATACACAGTACATACAGTCCAGTCCCCCCCTGGCCATATGGACACCATATTAATCTATGCTGCTGACAGCACCACCATGTGGTTAGTTAAAGATCTCTTACCCTGGAACTTTGACACATCGACGGACTCCTACACACTGACCATTTGTAGGAGATTACATCTGGTGCATGCCCCCCTGAGCATGCAGTCAACATAGTGAAGCTTCAAACTGCTAGCGCCACCATATGGCAAGATTCAACTGCAGCTAAATGTGGCTGGTAGATTCACAAACAACCAATAGCTGAGCAGAATTTGATAGTTTTCACCTGTAGGTGGTTCTACAGTATTAAAACAACCTGAAACATCAGTGCAGTGTGACGTGGCTGTGAAACCGTGTGTCTCTATGTGATACCATGCAGCTGTTGCTTCAGCTTGTCAGTCTCCGTTTTCTGCCCATCGAGCTCAAACTTCTGACTCTGCATCTCAGTTTTCTGCTTCTCCAACTCAGCCCTCACCTCTTGCAGCTTTGCTACTTGTGCTACGAAAGAGCATAAATAACTTTGTGAGATTTATTTTACTGCACCATCAGTTTCTTTGAAATTTCTCCAACATGTGTAATAAACTTGATTCAGTGAACAACAGACAAGCCAACATGCTGAGATACTGACATCACACTGTACCTTCATTCTCTCTCTGTAACAGCCTCATCTCCACCTTCTGTTCAGCCAACGAGGCGGTCAGCTCTTTCAGCGCAGCATGGACGTCCTGCAGACACGGCTGCTGGTAAGAGATCTGCTGTGCAGTGGTTTCCACATCTGTCCCTGTATTGCTGTGCTCTGTGGAGACAGAGCAAACCAGCAACAGCAGGCAAACCACAGTGATCCCCATTCCCACTCAGGATGTTGACAGTCAGACTGTGTCCTCTGTGAACATGTGGGACCTTTGTACAGCACAGCAACAGGAGGGTGAGAGTTCAGGGAGGAGGAGAGCGCAAACAGGTTGAGAGGCAGTGGCTTCACTCAACAAACAATCATGTCTCATAGCAAATTAACAGGACAGAAAACAAGACAATAAATACAGGACATTCACAAAAAAGACAAAGGGGGTTTAACATTTGGTTTGTGTGTGTGAGGGTGTGTTTAAGTTGATGCAGTCTGGTACATATTAAACAGGAGGGAGGGGGAGTAAAATGTATAAGGATAATAACACCCACCTTTATTGGCCAAGTATGTTACATACAAGGATTTTGTTTCCGGTATCTTGGGGGGGAGAGGGGG